AAATTTTTGTCTATGTCCGAAAATTAAACGAAGGGAATAGAATGTGATCCCAAGATTTTAGTGAAAGCTCAATGCGGAACACAACAACAACAGGATTCGGTCAAAAAATATTATATATATATATATATATATCAGAATGGATCCCATCTTCGGACTGGATCTAGGCTTGGTAAAGATAATAGGTTGTACAAAGCTTGGTTCAAATCCGACATTCCATTTGTCTGATATTGAATTAATAAATATCAAATTTTTTACCATTTGTCGGGCGTGGGCCAATGGGTCACATCTTCGGTTGTACAATAGATTGATATTATGAAATTATTTTTTAGCCCAACTTCGACCATTTCGAGGGGGAGATACCAGAAGGAGTGAACCGATATTCCCCATCTTCGAACTTGAACTAAGTTAAATAAAATTATTACGGTGTGCAAAGTTTGGGGGATATCGGTTATCAAATTCTAGAGTTATCGTACGCACCAGCCGGCCAGACAGACGGACATACATTTGTAAATCGACTTCAAATTTTCTTAAACGCATATGGTCCAAAGAAACATGGGGTCTAAAACATACAAGTATATTTCGATGAGGCACATTTTTGCAGTATCAAAATGTATATACACTCTTAAGGTATAAAATCAAGGAAAATTAAGGCTTAGATTTTTTTGACCCACATTTGATGTAACTCCTAAATGTCGGTATTTTAGAGTTTGGCTCGTTATTGGCAATAATTTAGTATTTTTAAATCCTATTGAATATACTTTGGGTACGCTTTTAACTGAAATGACTCTAACCTGGTTCTAATTCGGTTTTAAAACTTCTTACCAAAATTCGGTTATCGGTTACTCTCAGTGTGAGCAGCAGCCATACGGATGAAAAATGTTTAAATAGACTAAAAATTACTATGGCACATTGTTAAACATTTAACGTTAAACGGACATGGTTAAAATATTAGGCAGTGCAAAGATTGGTTCAAATCGAACAGTCCATTCGCATGATATTATAAAATTAATATTCGGCAAAATGTTGACCATTATAAGGGGAGGTAGCAGAAGGAGGGAAGTACCATCGAGAGTTATCGTACTCACCAGCCAGCCAGACAAATGGACGGACAGACTACATATAGTCTGAAACGGATTTTGTCTAAAGAAACATGGGGTCTAAAACCAATATTTCGATGAAGCACAATATTGCTATAGCAAAGTGTATTACCGTCATGAGCATAAGACCGACTAATGGATCCATAACCGAAGGCGTAACCTCCTTAATTTTTTGTCTTGAGTGACTATAGCAAGAGACGTATGTGGGATTTATTTCATAGTGTTTTTTAGGTACTATTCGCAATAAAACACCTACAATCGTTATTGGCTTAAAGTAAAAAATAAATTATATTTTAAAGAGCTTGTTTCTTTCTTCTGAGGAAACGAAATACCCCCCTTTCTGCGTTTCAAAAATTTGAATTTATATTTTCATTAAATTCACACCTACAGTAATTCATGAATGTCCTTTAAAATTTCAAGTGAAAATCTAAACAACTCTTGAAGATATAGCCGATTTATTGTGTCAGCATCAAGCGACGACAAAATTGCTTCTCAAAGCGCGTTTTTCCAACACAGTGTTTCTACGAATGGCGGGTTCGATAACTCAAAAACTAATAATCCAATCGGTTCAAAATCATATCATATGAACTAGGATAAATGTAATCGATCAAGATATTTCTTATTTTCTAACTTGGTTTGTAGTCAAAAAAAGAGAATTTTCATAGGTCCAAACATTAAATTTCATAGGTCCGCCATATTATTAATTGTGATGTTAATAATCCTAATTCATACCAGTTCCAGGACATGTACTCTTTCGAATGATATTGGAATGTTTGAATACGAACGTTTCAGTGAAATCAGAAATCATGCCTGCGATAGAACAGATGGACTTTTCTTTAGTTACAAAAATAACAACAAAATTATGTCAATTAATTTCCATATCCTTTAAGTCTTCAAATACTTATAATATTATGCACGTTCCTTTGCCAGTCGTTTGGAAATCACCAACATTTCACTCCCCTTAAGTTAGAAACTAGGCTATAGAACATCAATTTACAGAAAATTAAGTAAGACCTTTTGTATGGAGCTATGTAGATATGGATCTTCATGAATACAAATTCAAATTGCAGCCACTTCGAAATGCGGTTAAAGCTCAAAATCGTTTTTCATTATTCTTGTAATCCGACTGCTAATGCATTTGAACAAACATAAAATCCACATTTTTTAATAATGGTCGGAAAACAATTAAACCTTTCTTTCTGTTCATTCGTTTATTTTGTTGTCAAATGTCTGTTTCATCTTATGTTACTTTTAAATACAAACACCTTAACGTTTATTTAAAAACCTCATAAATTCACCACACCACAACTATGGTGAATTGAAAATATTTACTTTGTTAATATTTTGAACTGAGATTAATCCGGAAATTCATAACTGAGAGCTGAGACTAAAGTTAAGTTCCTAGCACAACAACATTTGTATTGTGTACTCAGTTGTAAACAACAGTAATCAGGAGAGAAACAAAAACAAATCAACAAACGTATGCTTAGCTGATGCTGGACATGGAAAATAACCGTAATATTTGTATCTTTTGCACAAAGCGGAGAGTATTAAGTTGAGATTATGTGAGTATTGTTTGGTATTGAAAATAAAAGGGTTGCCATTACTCGAAATTATGAATATGCATAAAGTTGCTAAATAATTTAATGAAAGAAAATGGAACTTACCATATTAATTATCTGGAGTTTTCAAAACTGAAATAAAAAATTAATTAAAATATCTATGAAAACTAAAATATAAGAAATTGAATTTAATACTGCAAAATAATATTATTTAGCTTAAAAATAAAGAACGAATAAAAAATAATAATATATAAATAAATGGATATTATAAAATATTTTAATTTTTGCCGAAACAGTGGTCAAGCCAATTTTGAAACACAGAGTTTTGCAGTAAGATGTGTTATTATAAAAATGTATTTTTGATTATTTCATAACAACGAAGGTTTGCCCTATACCTCGTAAGCCTCCCGAGCTATATCTTTGAGGTATTGGATCACTGCTGGGTGTTGGGGCTTTTTAAACACTTGAGGCTACAGGAGTGACGTTTTTAGTTGCTCTTGAGCACAAATTTCTTCACCAAAAAAAAAAAATTACTGTAAGTAGGTTAAAAATTAATATGGCTAATGAGTTTATATATATTTTCCTACTCTAAAAATATGCATCGTCGAAATATTGGTTTTTAACCACATTTCATCCAAAGTTTGCACATCGTAATATTTTTTCCCAAAATTATTTCATGTTCGAAGATGAGGAATATTGGTCCACTCCTTGTGGTACATCCGCCATAAAATCGTGAAAATTGTGTTAAAAATTAATATTATATTATCATTCGAACGGACTATCCGATTTGAACCAAACTTTGCACAATCGTTTATCTTTAACAAGCCTAGATCAAGTAGGAAGATGGGACTCATTGGTTCACACCTTCTGGGACCTCTCGCGCAAAAGATCAACATTTTCAATATTTAGCCTAGATCGGCCTAGATCGAGAAGGAGCTGAAGGGCTGAAGGCATATATCTGTCGGCAACACCAACTGACACTTTTTTACTTGTTTTAATGCCGAAAAAACAGGACCTTTTAGGTGGGATTATATCAAAACATGAGCCTACATTTATACCTCACAAATTTGTATATAAATCAGCTTCCAGAACCCTTTATACCAAATTACAGCCCTATCGGTTAGAAAATGCCACTGAACACTTCAAAATATCGAAAATAGGATGGTAGCATTCCGGCATTGATAATTTTTGGTCGGAAAATTTTACATCAAATTAGAGGGAATTGTTTCAAACATCCCCAAAATACAGTGCACAATTTCAAATATCTGTGTAAAATATTGATTTCAACGGTGACGGAGAGACGGACACGCATAATTCAACATATAAGTTTATTGCGATCAAAATAATTTATACTTTATGGGGTCTCCAGTTAATATTTTGATACGTTGCAAACGGAATGACTACTTTAATTTATATCAATGTTAATTTTTTATTTTTCTTAAAATTTAAATATGTAATTTGATCGATATTTTAATTCGATTTTGTAACACTGTGTCATTTCCCACACTTTTCAAACTACGTATTTCTCAAGTATGGCAACCCCAAGGGCCTGAGTAAATTTAATTAACCAACAATACTCTCTTGGTTAACCGTTGCTACTCAGCTGTTATTGTTATTGGATTTTTTTTCAATGTGTTTGTTTGTTTAACAAATCGAACAAGTTAAGCTTATAAAGTGCAGACCCTTTAAGTATTTAGTTGTTAGCGATAGCTCGCTTGAGACGGTTGTGTAAACGCTTAGTTCAACGGACGTGACTAAACTAATGTCGGTACGGGGGAAATAAGTAAATTAACAGAAAGAAAAAAAAAAAAACGCTCGCGCACTACTCAATCAACCAACTGAGTATTTATTGGTCATATAGAATTGAATAATACAAAAAAATTGAATTTTTTAAATTATTATTGAAACGTAAGAGGCGCGCGCGACCATTCACTTGTTGTGAGAAAAAAATACAGCAAATACAAAATAAATAAAAAGCAAAGCAAACAAAATTAAATAAACAACAACAAAATTATTAAAACCAGAAGTGCCTTTTTATGGCTTGCAAAAAAGCAATTAAAAAAAGATAAAATAACAAAAAAAATTTTGGTAAACAAATTTTAAAATTAAAAAAAAAATAATAAAATAACATAAAAGAGAGCAAAAATAATCAAGATAAAGTTTTAGTTTTATTTGAAAAAAAAATATACAAAAATAAATAAAAAAGTTAAACAAAAAAATTGAAAAGAAAAGAAGTTTGTGTTCCAAGTCTTTTGTTCGAAAACCAACCACAACAACAAAAAAGTGTAGATTGTGAATTATGAATTAAAATCCCACTTGATAGTGTTAAAAAGTATTAATTATGGCTTTGACAAACTTTACCCTGCCCTTTGGGGCCTTGACACAATCAGCTGGCGTTGCTGGCCCTTGGAGTCCCACAGTTTCACCCTTACATCCCATACATCATCAATTGGCCAGCAATACAAATAATCTACTCTACTCACCCGTAGATCATCAGCAACAGCCGGGCGATGGTTCGGCACCACCACCGGGATCGGATTTTTACCAAAATAATCCCTATGCTCCGCCACAGCAGACTTCGTATCAACAGTACAACGGCAACAACAATGGAAGACGTAAAAATGCATATTTGCCACCAGTGCCATCTGCAGGTACCCGTAATACCCAATATCATTTGCAACAGCCATCTGCTGTGCCACAGCAACAACAATATCATCATCAACAAACACAACAACAGCAGCATCAGCAACCGCAATTTAGTCACCTTAATCCGCAACAACATCAGCAAAATAACAATAATGCCGCCGTTTATAAAACTGCATCCTCATCCTCGTCAGCATCGATAACTTCATCATTAACAGCCTCCGCTAGTAGCAGCACCATAACAACCAGCAATGGTCCATCATCCAATACTCGCACATATGGTGAAGGTAGTTACTCAAGATTTCCTCAGCCTCAGAATAATAATAACAACAACAATAACATCCAAAAAGAATCATCAACCGCACAACAACATCAGCAATATTTCAATTCCTTTGCTTCGGTCAAACAAAATCAACATCAACAATCTCGTCTAACTGTAGGTACATCTGCGGGTGGCATAAATTTCGGAGCACCACCCAATACAAATGTGGAACAGCCACCACCTTCCACACAATATGGCGCCAGTTCGGCTAATGGTAATAAGCCCAACACTGGTGACAATTCCAATGATGCTGCCAACGATCCGTATCCCGATAGACCACCCGGTTTTACAAGAGTTCAAGCCGGTCAGGGTTCTAGAACGGGGGTACATGCGGTTCTTGATTATGATTTGGAAGAGGGTGAAGAAGATGATTATTATGATGCTGAAGATCAAGGTGAACCCGTTAATAAAGGTAAGTTTTTATTTTTTTCGGTTGAGTGTGTTTGTGTTGGACATATTTTATGAAGACAAGTTATTGGACATAAATGTTCGAGTGTGTGTGTGTGCGTGTGTGTTTTATTTATTAACAAGAATATAAAAATTTGATGCGAACTATGACTAAGTCGAAGTTAATGTTTGACGAACATTTAGTTAAATTAGATCACCTTTTTGTTCTGCAAAGAGTTTCGGTTTTCCCATAGACCATATTGTGAAATTCCAATAGAATATCGTAATAGGTATAACCTCCACCATACAGTGAAGCACATATTAAATTTGTTTCCGTTCCGTTTGCGACAACTCGAAATATTCCGGGGGCCAAGTGAATATTTCGGAGCGTTCCAAACGGAAAGAAGTAAATTTAATATGCGCTTTAGTTTATGGTTGGAGGGTATACCTATAAAGTTTATATTTTCTAGAACAGAAAAACATTTCTAAGTCGCCATCTCCGTATGTAGGTTAAAAACACGATAGAGCTCGCACAATTTATAATAGAGATTTGACTCATAATAACTCATAAATTGTCACTATTCCTAGGTTATTCGGTATTTAAAATATAAAACATGGATACACTTTTTAGGATTGTGGATTATTTCAGTCGAAGTTTCTTAACCGAATTATCTGTCATTGGTAGGAATTTTTTCTACCCAAAATGTTTATATATAGGATTATCCACTTCGTGGTTTCAAAGATACGATACGACGTAAATAATCCACATATAAAACATATTGTTCATGGTATTTATATATATGACACTGACTTTTTCTGGATGTATTGGCCCCTCTTCAATTACTCGAACCCCAAATACAACAATTTTGTTTATTAATATACCCAACGAGTGATCCAAAATGTACAAAAGCAACGCATTTAAAGAAATTTTTTTTTTAAATTTGGTGTAATGGCGTAATTGATTATTTTTATGCCCTACACAACTATATGATAAGGGTATTACAGATTTGTGTGTCTGCAAAAACACGGTTTTCGCGTAGCCCCACAAAAAAGTCAAAAGTCAGACATTCCATCATCGTTTCCGAGGAAGTAAAGTCCACACACACTTTCGGACCAAGGAGTGCATAAAACACTCACTTTTTCTGGATGTATTGGCCCCTCTTCAATTACTCGAACCCCAAATACAACAATTTTGTTTATTAACATACCCACCGAGTGAGAAATGTACTTCATCGCTAAGGAAAATTTTGTTCGATATGGTAGTGACGGAATGATTATTTTTATGCCCTACACAACTATATGGTAAGGGTATTACAGATTTGTGTGGCTCACGGGTTTGTAAAGCCGCGATATAGTCGATCTCGACATGTGTGTCCGTCACGAAATTTTGCATGTAGGTTCCGTTGGGGTCAAATGTTATGATTTAGGAGATCAAATGGACTAAAAACGTTATTTCTGTTTTTTTGAAAGCCTTATTTTGCACAGACAAAGGGATCTGAATAGAGAAATAACGAAATCTGCATGTTATGACGTAAATATTCACCTCAAGAAAATATGTTTCTGAATTATTAGAAAATTGGTTGGTTTATCGACTTAGTTTGACAGATGTCGAATTTCAGTCACATATTTTTATACTCTTCACCACACTGTGGTACAGGTTATTATGTCTTTGTGCATATGTTTGTAACAGGCAAAAGGAAACGAGATAGACACATGGTTCTTTTTGAGAATATGCATAGAATCACTTTCTGAGTTGATTTATGCATGTCCGTCTCTCCGTCCGTCCGTCCGTCCGTCCGTGTATTTTTGTGAGCAAATTACTGGTCGCATTTATGATCTGAATTGGATGAAATTTGCCACCGCTCATTTGGCCCAAGGACGAACCCTATTGAAATTTGAAAAAATCGGTTCAGATTTAGATATAGCTGCCATGTATAGATTCGTCCGATTTTAACCAAGTTCCAATATTTGTCTGATTGACACAAAATTTTGCACAGTGTACTGAATTAGGTCCAGTGTATGTGAAGTTTTATTGAAATCGGTAAAGATTTAGATATAGCTCCCATATATAGTTTCGTCCGATTTTAGGTAAGTGGTCCGATTGAGACGAAATTTGGCACAACGTATGGAATTGAAACTAGGATAGAGTGTGTAAAGCTTCATTTAAATCGGATCAGATATAGATATAGCTCATATATATAGTTTCGTCCGATTTTAGGTAAATGATGCACCAAACTCCCACAGTTTGTTTGAAAGAGACACAATTTTGCATAGCGTACTGAATTCTGTCCGGTTTGACGTGTGTGAAGTTTTGTTGAAATCGGGCCAGATTTTGATATAGCTACTATATATATAGTTTCGTCTGATTTTAGACAAAATTTTGCACAGCGTAGTGTATTTATTCTAGTTTGAGATGTGTGAAGTTGTGTTGAAATCGGTTCAGATTTAGATATAGCTTCCTTATATAGTTCGATGGTTTCCATCTTCGGACATGATCTGGGTTTAGTATAAATAGGATTTTCACTGTTTGGATCAAATCGAACATTCCATTCGTTTGGTATTTTATAAACAACATTTCAAAACTTTTGATCTTTATGGGGGATGTACCTAATGGATGAATCGATTTGTCCCATGTTCCGACTTGATATATGCTTTGTAAACATATTACGATGTGCAAAGTCTTTATGGAATTAAGTTTTCAAAATTTTTACAATTTGTGGTTATGGAAGATTGGACCGATAAGTCCCGTGGATTAAATATTAGGCTATGTAAAGTTTAGTTCCAGTTCCAGTAAAATATTAAAACAACAATTTTCAGTAAAATGTTAACGATTTTGTGGGAAAGCTGCTAGAAGGACTGGATCGATATTCTCCATTCTCGGTTTTAAAAAAATTAATTTTGTTAAATTTTATTTCAAATCTAGTAAAGTTTTTAAAATTTAAAGTGAAAATTTAAACAACTCTTGAAGATATAACCGGTTTAGAAGTGTTTCACAAACTTTAAAGGCGCTATTCTCAAAACAGGGTTTTTACGAATGGCGGGCAAGATATTAACATTTTTTAAGGGAACCCCACCCATTCTCGATTTTAATTTTTCAAGATTTTCAATGGGCTGGTAAATCAATACCAAAGCTTGTTAAGGTTTGTAACTTTGCACATATATATTTGAAGATTTAAAAAAGAAGAAAAATAATTTACAAAAATTTTTTGTTATTGCTTTGCTGTTGTTTTTTGTAATTAAAGAAAAGTCCTTATTTTTGATGGCGGGCATGATAACTCGTCACTGGATCATCGGAATCCGAAAATTCCAACGGCGTTAGAAAGAGTACACGTCTGGCTCTCGTATGAACTAGGATTATTGACTTCGCTCTAAAATTAACAAAATGGCGGACCTTTGAAAAAATATTTTTGAAAATCGCCGAATTTTGACCAATAACCAAGTTAAAAAATAAGGAAGATCTTCACCGATTGGCTTTATCCTAGTTCATACGATAGCTATACACTCACAGAGAAACGTGAAAAATTTCAAATCGATTGGGTTATTAGTTTTTGAGTTATCGTGCCCGCCATTCGCAAAAGAGAAAAACTCGTTTAAAGTTCGAGAAGCCCTTCAGCCGTCACTTGATGCTGACACAATAAATCGGCTATATCTTCAAGAGTTCTTGAGATTTTCACTTGAAATTTTGTAGAGACATTCTTTAATTAGTGTAGAATCGAATTAAATAAAAAAATGACCCCGAGAATGGGGGGTCCCCTTAAATAATTTTTAACACGTTAACTTGTTCGGTTAATATCTTCTTTATTTTCTAACTAGGTTTGTGATCGATATAATGCATGTTCATTTGCCAGCCAGTTGGAAATCGCCGAAATATCGAAATGAAGAAAAATTATGATGTGCAAAGTTTGGATGAAATCGGTTACTCATTTAGAGAATTATCATGCACACTAATCTTACAATTATCTGAGACGAGATGGGATCTACAACTAAACATGGGATCTACAATATTTTGATGATGGATCTAAAATATTTTGAAGACATACCCTCAGACTTATGGATAATAAGGGCAAGACTGCCAACAGAACCTTCGTAGTAAATTACATTACAAAATTAGAGAACTTTTTACCAAAAACGTATTCGAATTAGCACCGTAGAGCGGGAAATAAAAAAAAAGAAAGACATGCCTAGACTTGAAGCCATATTTTCTGCATTTCAGTTTGATGGACTTAAGAACATTTTTGAGTTAAGTACATATATTTGAACTTGATTTAAGTTTCTACTCCGAAAATACATGTTCCCGAGAAATTAACTATCTATGAAAGGGTAACTGTAGGTCATCATAATTTTCTGGAGAAGTTCAAATAGTATCATATTTGTATTGATTTTTGCCACGTTTAAAAATATGCCCAATGCTGGTCAATTATATATTATGGGCAGGTGACTGTAAAAACTTCTTCAAGATCAACATTTAAAATTATGCTACTTTAAAAAATTCCCGAAAAATACATTATTTCATGGGATTTTTTATTAAAAAATTTGTGGGTTTATCCCCTTTTAAGAAATTGGGAATATCCATGCTAATTTATTTATTTTTTGTTCACATCTTTTGGGACCCCTTTTGTAAAAACCAATCGATTTGGTTCTAAACCCGCCACACATCTATTTACTTTTTTTTATTAACGCAAAGTTTCCAGGCAATGACTCAGTAAAAAATATTCGTGATTGAAATTTTTATAAATAAAAAAAAAAATACATAAATGCAATTGAAATTGAAATTTGTTTCATTGCTTATTTTTTTTTTTTTTGTATACCCCATTTGATTAGTGAATGTGTTGGCTGGCGATGCTCATAATTAAATCAAAAACAATTTTTTTATCTCTTTTGGTGTTAGCAATCAAATCATGGCAAAATGACAATTTTTTCCTTATGGATTTCCGTTGCTTTGAATTTTTGTTTAAGTACTCATTTTATATGTATGGGGAGTACCAAAATTTATTAAGCTTGCCACCATATACATACAAATACAAA